GTAGCTCCATGAACTTACTAGTGTGTGCTTTGTCTTTACCTTTTGAAATTTTTTAACATATTATTTATAGCTTATATCATTACAATAGATTATGAATTACATACACACATATCGAATTGATGTGCTAATACTTGTTTGCTGATGTGCTTGAAAAGGAAAGATTAGAAAACACTATTTTAGACTGTCAGAATAAGTAAAAATCAATGTAGATGCAAAGTATTTCTCAGAATACGATAACAGCCATCCAACCAACTTATAAACAATTAAATTTCCTGAGATTCAGGTCATAATACATTCTAGCTACTCTATTGAATTAATGTGATTTCACCACAGACTAACCAGTCATTGATAAATTGCCTTTGGAAAAGCAGAATGCACAAACTTGAACTATTTCAGAAATTTATGAAACTTCCTTTTTCAATACCATACAGATCAGAGATTCTTAAATCAGAGTTCAGTATCAAAATCACCTGGGAGAATTTTTAAATAGAGATTTGATTAACTCAATTCAGAGATTCTGAGTCATATATCTTGGACCACTTCTCAGAAATGTTAATTATTTTTTGTTTGTTTGTTTGTTTGGCTTTTTTTGAGAGGTTTTTCGCTATAGGGCAAGTGTGCTTGCCAGAAAGACAGAGGGAGACAGAGAAACAGAAAGTGAGAAATCACCCCCCATGGGGGATGGCCATGCTGCAATCCCTTCGCCTCCATTCTCCTCTTGGTATCTTGGGCACACACGCACATGCGCCCAGTGTGAGTTTTAAGCTACCGGGTCTGGGACACGAACCGTGGTTGACTACATGGGAGTCCAGCGACATAGCCATTATGCTAACTGCTGGTCCTGAAATGTTAATGATTAAAAATTCCATATTAATTCTGATGTTTTCCTCCAGCTGAGAGCCACTGGACTATATATTCTATTGCTCTGTATTTCCTGTCTTTCCCAAATAATTATTTATTGGTGAGTATGGGCCAGGATTTGCTCTAGGTACTAGAGTCTTACTAGGAACTGAAATCGAATTTGACTTAAATATAAATTCATTTGAGTATGTCGACTTATTTTGTTGTATGTTTAAGAACTCTGATGATTTAGATCAATCAAAATAATCAAGTTCTAGGATACATGTTTATTATTTAAGCACAATCTCAGGTTTAACAATGGTTACAACCCACTATCCCAGTAACTAATATGGAAATAACATTGTAAAAGCAAATTTAATCATGTTTACCCTTGTTAGACAACATTGATTAGCATCAAATTAAATAGGCACCTTCTAAATAGAAAAGATCACAGACCAATTTTTCCTATTTGGAGGAACAATTTAAACTTCCAATGACTTCTTCTATGTACCACCCTCATACATTATTAGTGATTCAAGTTCTGAAAAAGTTGTCTTTTGGGGACCAGCAGGTGGCATGGTAGTTAAGGCACTGAATTCCCACATGGTTGACCATGATTCGAGTTATAGACTTGGAGGCCTGAAAATCATGACAGATGTATGTGCATGTATGCCCCAAATCACAACAGAATAGAGGAAAGGAGAAGAGATTGAGCAATGGCCATCTCCCCTCGGGGTGATTTCTCACTTGCCCTCTCTGTCTCTTTTGTAAGCACTAAAACAAACAAAAAAGTCTTTTTTTTTTTTTCAAAGCTTATTTAATGTATTTGAAAATGTTGGGACCAGGCCATAGCTTGGTGATTAAAGCCTATGGATGCTACATGGCCAACCACATGTTTGGAGTCCCAGACCTGGTGACTTGAGAAACAGTTCAGGTACATGTGTGTCTGTGCCCAAAATCTCCAAAAGGAGAAGAGATGGAGAATAAGGAATTGTACTTCATTATGATCATGCCCCATGGGAGATGCTTTATCATTTTTCTTCTCTCTCTCTCTCTCTTTGTATCTCTCCCGTAAATACATGCATCCTCTGGCAAATTAAAAAGGAGAAAACAGAGATGCTGATTCAGACTCTTTAATTAGAGGATTTTGGAGGGGGTAACTAGTTTAATTTATTATTCTAAGTTATTAAATAAGATATTATATTATTTAGAATTTTGTCAGTTGAGTGCTTTTATTTCAGGTTTTGGTCTATGGTACATTTTTATTCAAATTTCTATGGAAAATATGGTTGGTTTACAAGAGGGTAACCCTTATGTGAACTAGAAGTATATATTCTTAGATAATGAAAATCAGAGAATACATATGAGTTTTCAAAGCATTGATATTGAACGCTTATTGATAGTAAAACTATTATTGTTACCCATAGTACAACTTCAATTAAAGCATTTTCTTTTTTTTAATAGACAAGAAGAAAACATCAGAACATATGACAATTCCATTCCAAGTAAGAATTTAGTCTTAAAAAGTTTTTAGATTTGAAAATAATTTTAGTAATAATTTTTCAAAGGTTTTTAGATTTGAAAATAATTTTAGTAATAGATGACTAGTATCCTTTGTTAAACGTGATACAAGAGAAATTAGCCTGAGGTTTTGTTAGAGTTGAGTACAAGCACGTATGTATGTATGTGTAAGCTAGTGTGTGTTTAAAATACTTATGACCTTGATGTGGGTTTGTACTAACTGGTTTAAAAGGGAAGATTTATAGTTTGTCTTTCTCTTAGTACAAACCAACCTTACTTGTATAAGGTGTCATTCTGTTTAAAATTCACAATTTCAAAACCAAAGTAGAAAAAGTAAATATAGTTTGATGAGTTATTAATGAACATTCCATTTATTGAATAGCTGCAAATTTAAGGACGTTCTCTTTGATATATTGAGCTGGAATCTGCTTATACGTCTATAACTTTTATTCATTGGCTCTAAGTTCTTCCCTTAAAAAAACATATAAAAGAATGCCTACAACACTGCAGTTAACATCAAGGATTCTGGGGTCAAACTGTATTTGAATCTCAAATCTGCTATGGAGTAGCTTTGTAATTTGGGGCAACTAATTTAAATCTCTCTATGCTCCATTTTTGTTCATCTGAAAAATGCAGACAATTATATTTTTTCATTTAATGCCCAAAATGCAAATGAGATAGAACAGTATGATGTGGGTGGATCTCTCCCGTTGCCTAGAAACCCATCCACTTCCAGGGAGAACAGTTGGTCACATGATTTCTGAGAAACTGTTTGTTCAATGAGGAAGTGAAGCCTAATGGTTTCCAAGATGGTGGATAGCTCAAGATGGCGGATAGCTCAAAATGGCTTCCGTATGCAGTGCCCTCCACAATTTAAAAGGTTGTTGAGAGGATTAACTCTGTTGACTTGTGTAAAGCATTTGGAACACAGTCTGGGAAGTAATGGGCACTTCATAAGCATCAACATTTGCTGCTGATATTACAATTATTGGCACCAGCAAATAGAATAATGGTTATGTCACTGGACTCCCACATAGTTGACCATGGTTCAAGTCCTGGACCCCGCGGCTTAAAACTCACACAGAGTGCATGTGGCTGCATGTCCAAAATTCCAAGAAGAGAATGGAGGAGAAGGGATTGTGGCATGGTCATTCCTCCTGGGGGGTGGTTTGTCTCTTTCTGTCTGTCTTTCTGTCTCTGACTCTCCAGTGAGGAGCGTGCACACCCTATAGCAAAAACCTCTAAAAAAAAAAAAGGTTATTATTACTACTACTTTCCCATATAATAGTTCTTTATCTGAATATAGTGATCACATCTCTTGTTACTCTGATCTCTAAGAAAAAAGTCCTATTTCTTCATTAGTTCATCTTTTGACATAGTTTGCAGATGGTTTGATTTTCCTGATCACTTTATTCTGAGTGTCCTCAAGTGTGTATATGCCCTTCTTTAAATAGAGTTCCCAAAACTGAATGCAGTATTTAGAGTTAGGGTCCTAATATCTGTTACTTTGGGTGCCATTGAGGCCAGGAGGATGCTAAAATAAGTATTCAGATTTAATCAATCAATTATTTTATTTTATTCATTTTACTTACTACTTCATGCTCAACATTGTGCTAATTATTCGGGAGAGTAAAAATAAATGTCATATTGTCTGCCATTTTACCAAAATAGTGAAATAAAAGAAACCAAGACAGAGGATATAATGGAGACACTTGGATGGAAATGGTAAATTTTTTTCTATTTTCCATTCCAATTTTTTTATTATAAGATTATCTTAAAATCATGATTTAAGTAAATTATCTGGGAAAATTGGTTTAATTTAGAAATTAAAGTTACAAATGTCATTTTAAACATAATTAAATGCTAAATGAAGAAATTATTTTTATTTTCCATTATTGCTATAAAAATAAACTACAAAACAGAAAGGGGAAAAGCTATATTTTGAATTATAACTTAGTTTAATCTAAATGACAGTTTTATTAATAATGCTTAATAATACATCGATCAGTGCTGAGTAAAGTCTAGCTATTAACTCCAAATCATGTATTGCCTTCTCTCATTCTAGTGACTGAATCAAGCAGAAAATCATGGAATCAAGAAAACTTCACTTTAACATTTCCCAAACCACCCCAGCCAGGTAGAAGGGAGAGATCAAGACCTTTTAAATTACAAATCACAGTTCCTGTAAGTATTGAAAAGATAAGTTTTTAAACTAAATCTAAGTTGATACAACATATATAAAGATAAATAACACAGATGAAATTTGAATTTTACTACTTGTTAGAATCATATTTCTAAATTTATAATTTTCTGGGGCCGGCAGGTGGCATGGTGGT